CCTTAAAGAATTGGGCTTTTGAATTGTTTAAAATTCATTTTTAATTTTTAATTTTTTATAAATCTTATGTCACATATAGATTAGTTGAAGAATCGGATTTTATCAACATCTGGGGAGCTGGTGAATTAATATAACCTCTTGATGATTGCTGCGATGATACAATTGAATGGAAATTTCTATCATTTTTAATATGAACAATAAATATTCAGTTATGTTCAGTTTCCAAATGGTCTAATCAATAATGTAATGAGCTTTCCTACAAATTTTAAACCAAAACTCAAACGTTGGTTCCCACTTTTTTCTGTGAATGTCATTCAATCACTGTTATGAAAATTACTGTTATATTGTCTATGAAATTTCGAAAAATTCCTAACTGTATCCTTTTTTCATTTCGGATTGACGAAGTTAACGGAATTAAATGAGTTATGATGAAGATCTTTCACTTTTGGTTCCCCATGGGAAGATTCTGTTAAAAAATTCAATTGAATGAAATGGAAATTTCATATTTTAAATAATTGAATTTTTAAATTAAATTAGTTTAGAAAGACCATAAAAAATTCTATAGTTATTCCGCTTCATTTACATTATATTCAATATCTTTTCACATTTTATCGCTGAATTATCAATATTGTGCGCTTCAATTCAGTCTAAAATTCCGCGGCTCATGAAAATTGCTATTTATCTAGAAAATGCAATAAGCCTCAGGATTTTCACGGCAAGCGATCACTGATACTCAAGGACAGCTAGAATTCTAAATCCCATTACGAAAATTGGATATTAAATTCGATTGAATTTCCACGACCTCAAGAATCCATGAAAATAAATAGAATTTTCATTATTTTAAATAATAGCACTTGAATATTCAGATAATTCGCTTGAATTCTAAATAAAGGAGATGAATTTAATGTTAATTACACAACTTGAACTGAGAAGTTTGAAATGTCTTCACTTGAAATTTAAGGTGTAATTTTTTAACAGTACTTGGGGAATGGAGATTAAAAAACGGAAAGCATGCAACCTGAGAAAATATTCCGAGGTCATCCATCTTTGAAGGATGCGAACTGTGACGAAGATTCTCATACCGTTACAATTCACGTGTTAATGCGAGAGAGTATTGTCCCAAATGACAGTAAATAGAAAATTGCGTGTAGAAATGAAAGAAACAATATCTTGTATCGTCCATTGTCTGACATTATTTACAAAACGAAAAAACAACGTGAGATTTGGGCCGCATAAGCGATGACTCGTGGGTGTTGTGAGTCATTACATAATAATGAAAAAAAAAAATTCTTTTAATTCCGCTCTGTCTCACGTCAATGTCGAGAGTCATGAAGTTGACACTGACTCACATATTAAAATAAACACGGATAAATAAAAAGTTGTTTAGTCATGCACTAGTAATTTCGAATGAGATGAAATATTCAATTAACTGATTTAATTGCACAGGAACAATGTAGAATTTATTCCACTTCTTCATGAAGATGAACGAACGTATAAAATAGAACTTCGATGATTGAAATGGAATTGGGTGAGAAGAATATTTGAAATGCAGTCAAAGAATGGGTAGAAAGAAATTTTCCAAGAAAATTCTAGTTTAGGAGTAAAAAACGAGCGCAATGTGACGGCCGAGGAAAAATTACTGGCAATGCAATTTTTCCAGAAATTTCACTTGGAAATACAAAGAAAATTCTCGGTCTAGTACTGTAATTTTTATCTATTTGAAATGTAGACATGAAGGCACAAAAAATTGAAGAGAAAAACAGAAAATTAGATAGACGATTCTATCAGACGTCTTTTAAACTTTATATCACCGCGGATTCTACTAAAGCGTAAACTAGCCCCTATTTTATTTAAAAAATCAAATAGAATGTGATTATTCACACAACGTATTCTATCGCTCAATTGTCTACCGTTTTTCCTTCTATTTTTATTGCACTCTTCAACAAAATCATTTAAAAAACTTGGGAAGCACAAGCCGAGAAAATCCTGTAAAAATAATAGTAATAGGACATATTGTTTAAAAAAATCTAATTTTATCATCTTTTAAGAGAATATTCTCCATAAATTCCGTAATACCCCAATAGAACCGGTCGAAAATAGTGTCAAGTAATAAAAATGGGGGAGAATTGTCTAGTAAACTCGCTAGACGATCTAGTCTGCAAGTTTTTGATACGCGAAGTAAGTTGGCAATCCTCTACTGTAATATTATCGTCAAGTCAACGAAATATACGCAAAGTTGGCGGTGGAACTGACGGCCATGACAAATAAAATATGAGAGAATATGAGAGATTTTCCTATAAATTCTTCACTGAGACTCACGAAGAAATATCTAATCGCAACAGATTCAAAGAGTTATTGCCGATATTATCTCAATCTTTAGATTTTTTACAAATTTATGAGAAATGGTTAATTAAATTAACACGAAAATTTATACCGTTTCTAATTTTTTGTTATTATTTGTTTTTTTAAGAATTCATAAAACTTTACCGATAATTCCGAAAAATCTAGATATACGACTCTAAAAAAAAACGGAAAACGGTATATTTTTACGTGAATCTGATTAACGGGTTTGTAAGAATTAAAAAAAAAAGCAATTGTAAAATGAGAAAAGAAATCGGTAATACCTTCTTAACGGCGATTTCTGTGCGACGCAAAAAAAATAGTCGAAACAAGGAAAATTCCAAGAATATATTGACATGTACTAGACTTACCACTTGAACAAGTTTAACGATACCAGGTATCGACTTGAAATAAGGTATATTTAACGATATCCCCCCGATGACACCGGGCTGACCTGGTTCAGTCTTGACTGTTGGTCCCTGACGTGGGTTATTGGCGTTGGAGCCATCCTGGACTGTCACAACGGTCTCTGACATCATGGTATTTCCACGATGCCAAAAATTTGAATAACTCAATTGATAAATCGTCGATTGATCGGTAATCCGTGGCGAAGTGGTTCCCCAGTTCAACGATTATTCATCGATTTATCGGACATTCGGGGTGGAGGTAGAGAGAAAACCGACACCAGGTGAACTTGAAGACCTTTGGATTGTATCAAACACCTGTTAACTCACTACGGCCCGCGAAGCGGCCACACCAACTGAAAAACATTACCTACATCATCCTCGTAACCCGCTATGTTCTCCCACCACAAACTGTTGCCCCTCCTGACCGGTTTCAAGCAATCCAGGCAAGTCGGTTGACGTCAAGATTTTTTCATCGTCTATTAGATAGCTGTGAATTTTGTACTATTTTCCCATGATTTTTCATTCTCTCCGATATTTTTGGATCACCCGAGGGCTGCAATTTCAGTCTAACGATTTCAAATTTGTCGCATTCCAATTCGGAGACGGCAGCCGACATTTTTATATTTTTTTAAAATAAGTTATCAGTCAGAAGTTAATTGGGGCATTTTGTCGAATTTTCGGGTATTTTTTTCGATACTTTCTGATATTTTGGGATCACCAAGGGCTGCTGGAATTCCAGTCTGACGATTTGAAATTAGGGGAATTCCAATTAGAAAAGGGCGGGGTTTTGAAGATTTTTGAATAAATCTGGTTAGTTAGGACTGAATTTTAGGATTGGATTTCGGTGAATTTTTGGGTACGTTCCAGTAATTTGGAAAATTTTGGAATTAAGTGGATATTATCCATTTGAATTGCAGTAATTCAATCTGTATTATCAACGGGGAGTTTCTCAACGGTGGGCATTGCTAAGAGTGTGTTTATCGTCAACGATATGTTGTCGATTGCAGATAATACATTTTTGCAATTTTTTACAATTTACATTACAGTAATACTAGATTCCAGACGTGCGCTGCTGTGCTCGTTAATGAATAATTAACGCTTTAGTGCTGAAAGTCAATTATACATTATTTCTAGCGCCGCCTTTAGAGAAATTCCAAATGATTTTAAATGCATTTGCGAATGTTTTATGAGAATGATAATTTACGTTTCGATAGTTATTCATTAATCACCTTCTCATATAGAAACGGTAGATATTGTTCGACCTTTTGGGGATGTCTGTTCCACAGAATGGCCTAGGAAATCAATTTCCATTCAATTTCGTAAAAATTTATTTTTCTAACTCAAAAGTCGCATCCCGGGATCGAAGATAAATATTTTTTCCATCATTTTTATTTTTTTCACAGCTTTGAACAATTGCTCCTCATCTATGCGTCAATAATGTATACGAAACGAATGATTGATTGATGAGAAAATTCGATTTTTAAAATTCGAAAAAAGTTCAGAGACAAAATAGTTCCAAAATATTAACAAAACAAATATGTGTATATATTTTTTAATAGTAACGATGATAAAATGGTAATTGCAACATTTCAATATTGCGGATAGTCGAGCAATATGAATGTGTATCAATATTAATCACTTTCCCAAACATTTGGTGTAAAATCTCCACACGTTGGAAACCCGGTGGGTTTTGGGGGCAGATCCTGAACATCTCCAACGTGAAAAACTAGTTCCATTCCCACCAATTGATGGGACTGAAAATGGCAATGATACAGCCAGTACCCTAAAAATATATCCTTCTTTTATCTGGATTGCCCAGCATCTATTTAGATATATTTGGTATTCTTACCTGGATTATTTGCAAGAAATCTGATTATAGCGTATCCGTTGGTGGGAGTCACTAAAGTATCTTTCACTGGGGGACGATCAAAATTACGTTTCAACAACCCTTTTCTGTCCAATTCCATAGCCTTTCTTTTATCTACTCTTGAAACTCCCATAGATTCGAAAGTTCCTTGCCCCATGACATGAAAACCATAACCATGGAGATGAAATGGATGGTCCATCTTGTCCGGCGCTGAGGCAAACAAACGAATTTAAATTATCATCGATTATTCAAAAGCTAATATATACTACCTTCATCAATCGTTATAATTTCAACGATACTATTCAACGGAATGTCCAGTAGATGAAAACAAAAACAAGGTTTTTCATTCTTGCAAATTTCGGAGAGTTCGTCGCCTCTGCAAATTTTTCCGGCGGGAACGTCATGTCTTTGCGTGAGAAACGGAGAGGCTGGAAATTCATTCGAGAAATTACTGAGCAGTGCGACATAAGTACCCCTGGAACCCAGTGGAACTGAAAATAAAAATTAATACAAAACAATTACAAAAAACAAGTTACGAAAATGAATAGGCCATCAACTGGGTTTGTAGACCACCAAGAAAGACGTACTACAAACATCAACGTGTTGTCATGTGTCAACTTCATAAATTGCGCAAAATATTATTTTCTGTATGCACGTAAGACTTTCATTATGATGTACCTTCAAAATTTTTATAAGTATGAGGTGTGAACAGCTCTTTATCGGAATACTTGTAGATTTTGAAGGGAATGTATAAAGTTACATCAGCATTTTTCTGTATGATCTGCTGATTCACAGCTTCTGCACTTCGTAGATCCTTTGCATAAACCTTTCCAGCGCATGACTCTTCACAGACATCTCCTCCTTCATTGAAAATCTACAAGAAAATTAATGGGAAATCATAATGCAATCCCTGTAAAAGTTCTAAACAGAATGTTTCTCAAATTCTCTCAAAACGACGAGTTTTGGTTTTCCTTAACGTCAACGAACTCGATTTTGAGTTAATCGAGTTCCAAAACAATAGATGCAGATTGAGATAATTCACCACTCCAAATGGTAAAGGTTTATCATATGTGGGTTGCTCTCCTTGTGGCTCTTCCTGTTGTGACCCAGAATAACGAAGAATTGCATATTGAGAAATTTTTTTGTCTTTGCAGAAGCCCAATCCTCTGACGTGAATCCAATACGATTTGACTTCTCCACTGGTGTCAAGGATGAAGTCGTAGCGTTCAGCTAGATAATGAATAACCGCGGATAATATATTACGTTAAAAATACAAATCATTAAATAAATTATTTAAATACCGAAGAATACCTGCATAAGAATTAATAGTAGTAACAGCAATCGGAATAATGGCCTCACCGTCAGTTGCAATCAATGTCATATCATGATCTTGAATTGTCATTTGAATAGAACATGTCCAGCTCAAGCCGTTTATCATTCGAAACCTATAACGACGATTGGATTCTACGTTGATGACAGCCAGTGGCGTGTCAGTCGTTTCATTAGCTGTGGAATTCTAAAACAACAAATTGTATTGACACGCGATCAATTACCATCATCTTTATAAACTTACAAACCACTTTCCCCTGCCATTAATGAGTAAATTATCTGGCACCTGTCCCACATCTCTGACATCTGTACCTGGCCAGTGGTTCATGGCAGCAGAGTGAAACCAATCACTGATAAAAATGACATTATCGAATCCATCCTCGTCATAATATTTGGCATTAACTTCCATGTTCTTCGTTGAGCGAATTACTATAGCACCTTCAACACCTCCTGACTTGTGAAGACCGGTGTGGGCATGATAAAAATGAGTCCCAGAGTTCTGTGCACGCCATTTGTATCGGAAAGTAGAACCGAATGATATTGGACATTGTGTGACGAAGGGAACTCCATCGTAGTATTGATAACCATTCTGATAAATTCCATGGAAATGAATGGTGAGACCACTACCGTGTGCACGATTGATGACATCTATGACAACAAGATCTCCCAGACACACCTGGATGGAGGGTCCAGGGTACATTCTGTTGATGACCATGATTCCTGCTATTTCTACACCATCTGCTAGGATGCACTGGCAATCATTGGTCAGGGAGGTGTTGGTCGAAGGTTGACATAATTTGCAAGCGCTAAAACAATTCGGATAAGTACAAAGATCAAATTTCATCAATTGTGAATGAATTACCGGCCCATGGTGCGATAATATTCTACTGTCCAGTGATAGTAACATATTCTTGGAGTCTCTTCGTTTTCACACTCCCGTGCGCATTCTTCTGGATTTGATAATTTCGACAAATCACCGTGATAATCTGTGAGAACTTTACCCTGGTCTTTCCATTTTTCCGTCGGCATTAATTCCTCGGTCAACTCATTTGAGATAGTATAATTCACTATTTTGTGTTTTCCGTCTGTTCTTGAATAAACTTGATAAGAACTTCGGGCTCCGCGACTCCCTTCGTGTAGAACTGAAAGTAATCTTAAGATAATAGCTGCATTAATTGATAATATTGTCTTGTACATACTGCACAAAATACAGACGACGGATGTTATCACTTCATTCCACGTCATTCTTGGAATGAAAGCTATTCAGTGTCTTGAGCCGGTGCAAGTCACAGGTGAAATGTCAGTGAGTAGATCGTAAACGCAGTTCAAAAAATTTCTTGATTTAGATAGACTTTTTTTTATAGATTTTTTACACGCGCGCAATTGGTGGCTGAATCGAAAGCGAAACTGTATCCGTTAAAAAAACTGCATTGCATTAAATCAGACAATATTTTTCCGCAATGATTTTCAAGTTGTGACCACGTGGAGTGTTTTGTATATAATGAATTCCTTTCATGTATAATGAATGAATTCATTATGATTTTTTTTTCATTCATTCATAAATATTCAGGGGAATTTATAATAATAAATGTCCAATTTCTTGATTTCTTTACATACAATGTATTTTTAATTTCGATGTATCAGATTATTTCATGAAATAAATACATAACAATCAGAATTAGATAATTTTTCTCGAGGATTAAATGATGCGAACATAATTCAAGGATTAGAGAAGAGGAAAATATTGCATATTCATTGCATTATTCCGTAATTTTTCAGATAATTTGAGGCTCATCGAAGTGCAACAGATGCGTGCCATACAAAATTGAAGAAACCTGAACAGTAATTTCCTCAAAATTCATACAGAAAATTTTCAATTGGATATCTCAATCAAACTCCCAAACACTGGGTTTGAAATCTCCACATGTTGGGAATCCATCTGGAATCGGGGGAAGATTGCTATTGTCGCCGACGTGGAATACCATCTCCATGCCAACTAACAAGTGTGACTGGAAATGGCAATGATACAACCAATACCCTGAAAAGAAAAAAGATTATTTATTCTGTTCAAACAGAAACGTAAAATAATTTTCATTTTGCATATTAATGCGAATAAGTGGCTAGAGCCCTAGCCATTTTTATTATTTATTATTATTATTGCTGTAATTATTATTAATTAATTGTCATTATTTTGCTACTTCATTATTTTTCGTGAGAATAATAAACCTAATCAGAATTATTAATGAAGAATAATTGAGTCAATTGTAATTGAGATATATATTCGATATTCTCACCCGGATTGTCGGCGTAAAATCTGAGAATGATGTAGCCATTTGAAGGAGTGGCAACTGTATCTTTTACCGGTGGACGATCTAAATTACGGATCAATAGTCCTGCTTGATCCAATTCGATTGCTTTATTTCTATCCACTCCACCTGAAATCCCCATAGATTCAAAGCTTCCCTGACCTATTACATGGAAGCCGTAACCATGAAGGTGAAACGGATGCGCTAGGCCGAGTGGATCTGCGGGGAAAAAAAATGATTATTTCCTGTCTCTAGTTAAGTTCTATCCATCGAGAACAATTTTTTCTGCCGTTCATCCCTCGTTTTTTATAGATAGTATCTGTAATGTTGTATATTTGTTGAAACAATTATATTATTAACAATTATTTGGTTCAAACAGTTAATGTTACTGTCGTTAAGAATGAGTCCTTAAATCATTGAATTAGGAATTTTATAGGAAATATATAAAAATATATATTCAGAAATATATTTTAATTATATTCGGATCTACGTCGCGTACACCTCTGCCAAAAAATGGATTCTATATTTTGAATATATCTGTATAGATATATTTCATAAAGATAAAATATATATTCAAATTATAAGTTACATATATTTAAGATATGATTCCGGCAAGAAACTATATCTCAGTTATATTTTTAGGATTTTAGGTTTTTCCACGTGGGAATGTAAAATGTAAAATTAACCTACTTTCGTCCACCATTACCAATTCCACAACACTGTTCAGTGGTATATCAATAAGATGAGAACAGAAACAGGGCTCGTCCTTTTTACAAATTTTAGGTACTTCGTCACCGCTGCAGATTCTTTCAGGTGGAATATCATGCATCTGCGTGAGATACGGGGATGCCCCGAATTCATTCGAAATATTTTGTAACAGTGAAACAAAATAATTTCCACCCGTCGGTACTAGAACCACAAATTGAAATTAAAAGACCAGTTTCAAAAGTTCAATCCTTCCCAAACATCATCACTACTATACATTACCTTCAAAATTTTTATAAGTATTCGACTTGAATAATTGTTCATTCGTGTATTGATAGAACTTGAAAGGAATATATATCGTTATGTCCGCTTTTTCTTGTGAGATTCTCTCATTCGTTGGCGCTGCGCTCTGGAGATTCTTTACGCAGACTAGATTTTCTGATGAATTCTCGCATACTTCATTAGGATCATTGAAAACCTAGATTGCAACGAAGGGTAAGGATATCTTATCTTCATGTACCATTTTAAGCTGCCTGTTAGGCAGAAGAATTAGAAGACCGGGTTTATGCTAATGATCCAGCAATCATAAAGGATATAACTTACAATTCCCAATGGCAAGGATTGATCATACGTGAGTCTCTCTCCTTCTGGTTCCTTAAGTTGTGCACCAGAATAACGAAGGATAGCATATTGTGCTACTTTGGTGTCCGCACAGCTTTGCAACCCTCTGACTTGAATCCAGTAAGACGTTATCTTCTGATCGGTCGTCAAGACAAAGTCATAGCGTTCAGCTGCAAATCATAGAATCCGATGATTCCCCTGGAGTCCCAATGATTAATTGAACAACGAATCATACCTGAGAAAGAATTGATAGTCTGCACGACCTTCGGTTCAATGGCTTCACCATCGGTTGCAATTATCGTCATATTGTGATCTTGAATTGTCATTTGAATAGAGCAAGTCCAGCTCAAGCTGTTTATCATTCTGAACCTGTATCGTCGATTGGGCTCCACGTTGATGACGGCGAGTGGAGTATCCGTCAGTCTATTGCTTGTAGAATTCTAAAAAAAACAACAATTATCAACTGACTCAACGAATACAGTTATAAAATTTCTATGATCTTGCATAATTAAATTGTACTTGACAAATCATACAAAGTTCGACTGTAACTATTACTCCTGCCTTTTACGTCAACTATTAGATTTATGATTATCTTGCAACATAAATTCTGCAGTTGAAACTTTGATTTTTTTTCGATTGATGAAACTATCCAATTTTATGATAGCTAATTCCAGATACTTACAAACCACTGGCCTCTGCCATTAATCAAGAAATTATCAGGTATCTGTCCTATATTCCGTACATCAGTACCCGGCCAATGGTCAATAGGATTAGTATGAAACCAATCATTAATGTATATAACATTATCAAATCCATCTTCATCGTAATATTCATTGCTGGGATCCTCTTTTCGGACAGAACGAATTATAACAGCACCTTCTACACCAGCAGGCTTGTGAAGACCTGTATGTGCATGATAGAAATGTGTTCCAGCATTTTGTGCACGCCATTTGTATCGGAAAGTTGATCTGAACGTTATGGGACATTGTGTGACAAAAGGAACACCGTCGTAGTACTGATATCCATTTTGATAGATTCCATGGAAATGAATGGTGAGACCACTGCCAAAAGCGTGATTGGCAACATCAACAACTACAAGATCACCTAGGCAAACTTGAATTGAGGGACCTGGGTACATTCTGTTGATGACCATGACACCTGTCATCTCCACGCCATCAGCTAGGATACATTGGCAGTCACTTGTGAGAGAAGTATTTGTCGTGTGTTCACATAATTCACACGCACTGGAACCGTAGGAAAGATCAATTTATCACACAGTCAATTAATTGGATTAATCTTTTTTTACCATAATTACCTGCCCAATGTCCGATAGTATTCTACTGTCCAGTGGTAGTAACAGGTTCTTGGGGGCTCATCGGCTCTGCATTCTCTGGCACATTCCTCTGGTGTTGATGCTTGATCTAGAAAAACATTGCCCTGCTGCTGCTGTTCATTCCCAGCTCCTAACAATTGTTCGGATGAATCTCCGATACGTGGTACGTCGGCGATAGTAAAATTCACGTCTCTGTATTTTCCTTCACTTCGTGAATAAACCCGATAAGATCCTTGTGCCGCATGACTTTCATCGTAACAAGCTGAAAATTAAATGAGTGTGAAGAGATATTGTTATGATCTTGAATTAATTATTATTAATCACTTACTCCATAGGGTGGAGAGAAGACATATAATAATGAAATTCCAAGAGTCTTTCATATTGTGATCCGTTGACAAGTGCAACGACTTTGTCAGCTAGTTTATACTTTTTATACTGCAGTGACGTTCGACGATAGGTTTGGTATTCAAGAAGCAAGAATAAATATGAGTTATTGTGGTCAATATCTTTTAACGACCTATTTGTACGGAAATTACGTTACTTGAAACGCTTCAACAGGCGGAAAATGAAAAGAGTAGTGGGAAGTCCACCAATAATGTTGTTGTTGTGTCCGTAATGAATGCTTGACCAGGGACACTTTCGAGCTACAAAATTAATTTCACTCGAAAGAATAAATGACTAAAGTCATTTCCACTTTTCTTTTCCTTTTTTTTACAAACAATTCACAACTGGTCCAATCATTATCATAGAGTCTCACTGATGGGATAAATAACTGCACACACAATGGAAAAGGCTCACTGTTATTTTAATATTTTCTCAAAAGGTAACTTGGAATTTCGATTCGATGTTGTCAGAAAGACCTTGTCGTTATAACTCACTCTTCTCCCTTTTATCAGATTTTTGGTAACAGACTTTGGAGTTGGTAATTTTTGAGGAGGAGGAAATTCTCGTTGTTTCATTGGTGAAAATGGCAGAGGGCGGATACGTGTAGAAGGGAAAAGGAGGTGTTTAGATGGTTTATTTCTTTCCGATCAGTGTTTTGGCATGGGTTCTGACCCTTGGTTGACCTGGACGTCTTCATGGTAGACAAAGGCATCGGCAAAGGATTATGTCGTAAAGGTCCTAAGGAAGTTTTTATGATTGGTTTCTGGGATTGAAATGTATCCTGGTCATCGTAAAATTCAATTGGAAATGCAGAAAAAATCATCCACGATGGCAGTTCTTAAAATTTGGGAAAAGTCTGGACATTTGATTCTGGGGATAATATCAAGGGCGATGGTTATATTGGGGAATGTTCTGCATTGTTCTTGGGGAGTGCCCCATGGCATCAGGCTGGGAAATGCTGGGGAAAATTTTTCTCTAAGGATCTTTTGTTAAATTTTGTATAAGAAATTGTGCGTCAGTTGTTATTTCAAAGCTCTCAAATATTTCATGATCACGGTGTTTAAGATACTGTTTTCAATTATTCTTTTTCCCTACTATCCTTTCTCGAGAGAAGGAATGAACCAGTTGTCATTTCCATTTTTTTTTTCCTGATAACATAATGTTGTCATAATATGTTGGAACAACATTTTCGCAATGAACGAATCGTCGGAAATAAATTCGCTAGAAAAATTATAGTCACTCGCAAAACGAACCGCAGAAGGACGACTAGAATAGTATATTATGCGTTTCACACAAAATTTTATGTCATTGCGCCTGGAATCCGCGATTACGGGCACCGATGGCATAAAAAATTGAATTCCTGACACAAAATTGTCACATAAATTTCCAGAAATTTTCCACTATTCTCACGACAATTCTTTTAACAAATTCCCCTTCGACTCCATGTATTGAATCAACAGCGTCGTACCAAAAGGAAAATGAAAACAATTTTTACCCCTCGAGGGAAAGTATCAATTTTTTATAAGAGCAAGTTCAGCAATTAACAAAAGTTATTTAGAAGGAAGGATTTCCGGAAAAAATCAAGCTCGTGGTTTGAAGTCTCCACACTTAGGAAAACCCTCGGGGATTGGCGGAAGGTCCTCGTCGTCTCCCACATGAAAAACTAGTTCCATTCCCACTAGCAAATGTGACATAAAGTGACAGTGATGTAGCCAATATCCTAGGAAATAAAAAATCATAGTAGAAATGATATTTAGCTTGTAATAGAAATTCTAGTATGAATGGAAGATAAAAACTACCAGGATTGTCAGCTATGAATCTAACAATAGTATATCCTCCTGCTGTGACAGCTAGAGTGTCTTTGACAGGTGGTTCTGTTCTAAAATCTCCATAAGCCTTCCGGTGAAGACTAAGAGCGTAATGTTTATTATCCTCTGTAATATTCACATCCTTCAATCGCCCCTGCGCCATTACGTGGAAGCCAAAGCCGTGAAGATGGAAGGGATGGGATAATCCGTTTTCACCTTAATAAATAAAACAAGGAATAAGTTCTGAACCGAGCTCTGTTATTTCGATTGGTAACCGCCTCTTAGAGAACTCACCAGAATCGGTCATGATTATTTCTACGACTGTGCCGAGTGGTATGTCCACAATATGTGAACAAAAGCAAGGCTTCCTTGGAGAACATCTGTCCGGTAAAGAATGTCTATTGCAGATCGTCTCAGGTGGGATGTCAGCAATCTGACTCATGTAAGGCGATCCAGAAAATATATTTGAGATACTTCCAATCATCGCGACTGAACCATTACCCCCAATCGGTACTGTCAAAAAAATTTAATGCAATTCATTTAAAAAACAACTCTTTCTGCTTCTAGAGATTCGCGAGTTACCTAAGAATTGTGTGTAGGTATTTGGCTTGAACAGCTCTTCATTGGTGAATAAATGAAAATTATAGGGCAGAAAGAATGTCAGGTCTGCCCTGGGAGCTAGAATTCTTTCATCGATTGGATCAGCGGTTCGAAGATCTTTGGCGCAGACAAAATTTGGATCCCCATCATCGCATATTCGATTCACATCATTGAAGACCTGTAAAAGTGTTAGGATTATCATTGCAGAAGCAATTATGGCTGTCTTACAATTCCCAATGGCAATCCTGGATCATAACGAGGTCTTCTTGATGCTGGAACTTCGAATTCTGAGCCAGTGTAACGCAGTACAGCAACTTGTGTAATTTTATCCGATGAACAGGAGTGCACTAGCCGCACTTGAATCCAATAGGTACCGATCGGCTGATTTGTGTGAAGAACGAAATCATAACGTTCCGCTGTTGAAAACTTTTTGTTAATATACAGTTATGAACTCAAAAAGGCTGTGATTGATGTAAAAACAATAGCATTTCGTTGAAACTGCGCTTGAAATTCTCTAAAATTTCTCTACGATATGGGTTTTTTAAAAAATGCATTCAAATTTCTCGGGGATTTAATCCCACTGCATAATTTCTAACTCTGAAAGAATAAATCCAAGAGAATTTAAACTGCAGCCTGAAGAAGATGGAAACTCTGTGGTGAAACTTGTCAGTTTTTCTACGAATATAACCGCAATGATTTGACGGATATTATTACCGGAAAATGATGTAATAGTTGTGACAGTTTTCGGTTTCACCTCTTCACCATCAGTACCAATGAGTGTAACATTATGATTTTGGATTGTGAATTGAATGGGACATGTCCAACTCAAACTATTGATCATTCGAAATCTGATACGACGGCGAGGCTGGACATTGATCACCGCCAGTCTGGAATTGGTATAATTACCGGTGGAGGGATCCTGAAAAGAATTTAGAAAGATTTCTTAAGATCCATTTAAAATGAATTCTGATAATGACATAAGATAATTTTGATAATCATCTGTTAATGACCACATTAACAGATAATTAAACCTACAAGCCACTGTCCTTTTCCATTAACAAGAATGTTCTGCGGTATCTGACCAACATTGTGGGCAGTAGTGCCTGGCCAGTGGTCAATGGCTGACTCATGGAACCAATCGTTGAGAAAAATGACATTATCAAAGTGATCATCGTCAAAATCCTCGTTATTTGGATCCTCGATTTTTGGTTGTCGAATTATGATTGCACCTTCAAGACCATCAGGTTTGTGGAGACCTGTGTGGGCGTGATAAAAATGAGTTCCAGCATTTTGTGCTCGCCACCTATATCGAAATGTTGATCCCTGAGTTATTGGGCATTGAGTGACAAAAGGAACACCATCGTAGTACTGATAATTTTTCTGATAGACTCCGTGCCAGTGGATTGATATGGATGTACCAATAGCTCTGTTGTTCACATCGATTATAGCAAGATCACCAACACATAGTTGAACTGATGGTCCTGGATACATTCGGTTGATTACCATGATACCAGCCATGTCAACACCATCTCCAAGAATGCATTGACAGTCTGCGCTCAATGATGTATTCGTTGTTGGTTCGCATAAGGTACATGCACTGGAAAATAGAATCGCAGTTAAGGAGTTATTGCCGATAACTTCTCATTTTTCAATGAGAATTTTCAGAACCTGCGTGATATATTACCCGCCGAGAGTTCGATAAATCTCCACTGTGAAATGATAGTAGCAATTCTTAGGCCAAGCCCCTTGTCTGCAATTTCTAGCGCATTCTTCCGGTGTTGACAATTTCCCTAAACCTTTGTAATGAACTCCATATTCTAAAGGGACATGAGGATTCTCGTATTTTTCTTCAACGGGTACGTCGGCATCAGGATCCTTCTCCGTAACTTCCATTGTTTTCAATATTGACGAACCTCTCGAATACCACTCGATGACAGGAGCACTTCGAGCTGTCGGAAACATTGAGATTTTTCATTAGCTATATAATAATATAGAATGATTCGAACTTTAATTCAATTTTTTGTCCATTCCTGTAATGACTCACCATGAACTTCATGTAAATTTTCCTGATTCATTCCGTTGTCTTTACCGTTATCAATGCATCCAACCCGAACAATTACAAAAATCAAGGAAAATGATAATCCAGTGGGTAATTGCATAGTGAAAATATAATTATGACAATTTCTTCAATTGCGTGGAAAAAGTAATCGAATAATCAGAGCTGCAAGTTCTTCAATTATATTTTATAATTTCTTGTTGAATGCAATGTCAATTGCATCTGTTTTTCAATAGTCCAGAAAATCGTAAAAAACTGAGATGATACGTTGTGGAGATTGCCCTAGAGGACTCAAGAAATGACACGCTCCACACGAATTTATATGAATCTGCATCAGTTATCAGATATTTTTTAATTGATGAGTTTTTAATCCTTTCGATAATCTCCTAATGAGGGGAAAATGTTTGAGTTCAAACACCTTAATCATTTCCTTCATCCGTATCGATTTTATCAATAATATAAACAATGTAACTGAATGAATAATTCATCTTTGTAACTCCATTTAATCATGGAATATTCCTTGCTACTCACGCACATGCGCATGATGACGAATGATGAAAATTTGAGTTTTAGGATTCACATTACGTGAAAACTTTACGGACTGTTCATTGAAATTTCATTGAAGTTAATAATTTTAATAATTCAACCAAATATTTATTTTTCAAAATCATCAAACAATTTTCTTCACAATTTCTTCGATTCTCCTGGCAATATATTCGTGATAATATCATTCGCGAATAGAGAGTCCCCATGTAAATTATGTATTATCTTCAAAAATATCAGTAACAATCAATTGGAATAATCGAAATATTTCACATAAAAAGCATCCACGTCTAAGAAACTCTCGGTGTAAAATCTCCACATCTTGGGAATCCCCTGGGTACTGGAGGAAGATCCGACGGTCTTCCCACGTGGAAAGTCAATTCCATTCCAACTAATAAATGCGACATGAAGTGGCAGTGATACAGCCAGTACCCTAGAAAATTATAAATGAAAATGAAAAAAGGAGTTCATCAGGGTATTAATTAATTCATCCGTTAACCAAAAGAAGAAGTAATTCACGTTTTTACCTGGATTATTGGCAATGAATCTACAAATGCTATAACCACCGGCTGGAGTGGGTAAAGTGTCTTTGACAACAGGTCGTTCATGGAAAGTGTTGTAAAAACGTTGATGCAGCTGTAAAGCTTGAAATTTATTTTGTTCCGTGAGAGGTACATCTCGTAGAAGACCCTGACCCATCATGTGGCAGCCATAACCGTGGATATGAAACGGATGAGATATTCCAGTGGATGCTTTCACAGAGAAAAAATACGAGCGACAATGAGTTGTTGTTGAAGTACGCGAGAAACATTTACTCTGACATCTATTTTCAAATTTACCCGTGTCAGCCATGATAATGTCGACCACTGCACCGAGAGGTATGTCAACAACATGTGAACAGAAACATGGCTTTCCAGGGCGACACCCTCCAGGTTTAGTACTTCCATTGCAAATTTTTCTACGTGGGATATCACGTATTTGCGAGAGAAATGGCGATCCTGAAAATGTATTACTAATACCGGAAATCATGGCGACTGAGCCATTACCACCAGTTGGCACTAGAAATAAAGAAAAGAACAAGTTAACTTCCTAAATAATCAGCGCAATGGAAATAAAGGTCTTGAGGTGTACCTTGAAAGTGTGGATAGCTTCTCGGTTGAAACAGCTCCTCGTCACTGTATACATAGAAATTGTATGGCAGAAATATACTAACATCTGGCCTAGCAGCTAGAATTCTCCTGTCAACTGCACTCGTTGTCTGTAGGTCCTTCATGCAGACAACATCAGTATTCGTACCTGCGCATACTTCATTCTCCTCATTAAACACCTAGAAGTTGAGATAAAAAACTTATAACGATGATCAAATACTGGATTTATGTTTCCAAATGAAGATATCTTACGACTCCCAATGGAAGCCCCGGATTGCCAACTGGACGAGTTATTTGCGGTGTCATAACTTGTCTTCCAAGGTAATGAAATAGTGCGACCTGGGAGATATTCCTAGACGTGCAAGGACCTACTAGCCGAGCTTGGATCCAATAGGTGCCAGGTTGCTGATCGGTGTTTACAACAAAGTCGTAACGTTCCGCTGAAAATGTTCTTTTATCAAAATCGCGTGATCCATATAGGCTAAACGAACCTAATTAATGGGATTGACGAGTTCCGGTCTAACATAACACAATCTTATTTGAGGAGAGCTATCTTCGACCTTGAATGTAATTACCGGAGAAAGAAGTGATGGTAGTGACAGTCTGTGGATCCACATCATCACCATCAGTACCAATTATCGTCAAGTTATGATTCTGAATTGAAAAGCGAAGAGGACAAGTCCAACTCAAACTGTTGATCATCCGAAATCTGATTCTACGGTTTCCGTTGACATTGATGACAGCAAGAGGTGAAGTGGTGTAAGTGCCAGTGGCGGGATCCTAGAAGAAGTGGTAAATAGAATAAACTAAAAAGGTTTCTGCTGGCAATTCGGGGCACCTACCAGCCACTGGCCTTTTCCGTTGATGAGAAGATTCTTCGGCACTTGTCCAATATTTCGTATACTGGTGCCAGGCCAGTGATCAAGAGCCGATTCATGAAACCAATCGTTGATGAAAATAATATTATCAATATTATCTTCATCGTAATGGTCTTGGTTTGGATCCAACTCTTTCGGTGGTCGAACTATTAGCGCACCCTGAAGACCATCCGATTTGTGAATTCCAGTGTGGGCATGATAAAAGTGTGTGCCAAGGTTCTGGGCACGGAACTGATAACGAAATGTTGATCCATGGGATATGGGACATTGGGTGACAAAAGGTACTCCATCGTAGTACTGAAAATCGTTTTGATACAGTCCGTGCCAATGTATTGTGATACCTGTGCCGATGGCTTTATTGTGTAGATCAATTATGGCGAGATCGCCAACACACAGCTGGATCGAAGGTCCTGGATACATTCTGTTGATTACCATCAGCCCAGCTTTATCTACTCCATCTGCCTCAATACATTGGCAGTTACTGCTCAACGATATGTTGGCTGATGGTCGACAAATCCTGCAAGCACTGAAAACAATAAAAAGATAAATAACCATTTATTTTCGATTTCCAATCAACTTGAGTTGATTTTACATTCATTTTCTTTGTCATTGTTCAAACGCTAGATCTAGAACAGGTTATACGCGTCCAAATGCGCATGAAGAGAAGAAGGCAGAGAATACGGGGATTCCCATCAACTATCCGAACTCGGTGGACTCTGCGCATTGTATCGGTTGAGGAAAGTGATTCTGTAGATAAGGAAAATTCTTGGAAATTCAATGAGTTTCTGGGTCATAATTACCCGCCTAGAGTTCGATAAATCTCGACAGTGAAGTGGTAGTAGCAATTCAATGGTCTAGCTCCAAGAATACACGGACGTGCGCATTCCTCAGGAGTAGATAATCTTCCTATGCCTCCGTAGTAGGCTCCATAGGTCAAGGGCTCCTGGGCCCCATCACTCATGGCCATGGCCGAAATGGGCTGAGGACGACGGGCTTCGGTGATATTGATTACTCTCCATTGGGATGAACCTCTTGAGTAATAGCGGATAGTCTGATTGCTGTAAACTATTATATCATATTATTTTATATTTTATATTGTATTATGTTAAACAAATTAGTAAAACGCGTCACAACTATGTTTTGCTTTAAAATGGAAATTTTTTACTGCTGTTACCAGTATTGAGGAGGGATAGACCCCATAAGATGAAGTAGTTTAACGAGATTTTCATTGTAATGAAGTCTAATAGCGGAACAAAATAAATTTTCCAAGATGCTCGCTCTTTTATCAAATGCAGACTGGATCTGTTCATGAGGTTCAACCACAAACCCGTCTTATTCAGATTCTGCCACAATAAATTAAGGAAGACGACTGGCAATAATAAATTGTGCAGTGACATACACTTGATTGTGGGATAAATATAATAAATTTCATCCAAAAGTTAACAATTAATCTCTTCGTCAAGCTCCACCCACTGCGGTTTCAAATTTACCGCACAAATATTTGGATTCATAAAAGTCGCCTTACAGGGATCCCAGGATGTTGCATTTTTTGCTGAGTTATGGATAAACTTGATAATGAAATCTATCTCTCCAGAATAACACAAAAATAACTTTTTTTGTAAAAAAAACATCGGGAAAAGATTACGTTCGGTTATTTCTGGATGATTGCATGTACTGATGGAAAAATGTTTTTTAAAAAAAGAAAGTAAAAAAAGGAAGAAGAAAAAATGGAAGAAAAGTTTTTGAAAATAATTGAAAAATTAAAATAAATCTGGATAGACCGGAAATCTATGTTGATTACCAAAATCAAGAGATTATTATTACCTAATAAATTTAGATTATTTCTATGTAATTTTAATTAACTCTAACTGTTTCGTGGAGATTGGAAAAATATGAGAACAAATATTACGTATTTTGGAGTAATCAATTGATCTTCATACGGAAGATTCTACCTGTTGATTCAATAATAAAAATCAAGAAAATTTTATCTGATGGATGAACAGTAAGTACAATGCAAAGTCCTTGAATTATGACATATATGTGCCATGGCATATATTTTGTCATTTCTATCCATATAATTGTGGACGCGCCCCCGGAAGTCTGATCTAGGATTTTTTAAACTTTTTCAAACGAAATATTAAATAATAATATGATACCGTAAAAATATCAGTGGGAAATGTTATTGGTAAAACTGACACACATTCAAAACATCACAATTCAAATTTCTTTATTGTTGAGGTTTTATTTGAGTACTTTGGTAATGATCAATTAATGAATAACTATTGATCATCGTATGCAACATCTCGAAAATACTCTACAACTTCTGTAGTACTTCTACGTCTGTGGGAATAATTCGTTTCGATTTTATCATTTTTATTTTTAGTATCATTAGTTCATGATATTTTAAGTTCTATAATTATTGGACTGTTAATTTTTATTGTGATGTTTTTTTCTATATAACATCATTACTGTGTGTCATTTACAGCGGCAATCATTTTTTAACCCCCGGCGATAACTCTAATCTCTGATTTTTTGGTGATAAAAGCGACTTTTTTATCAAATCAATTTTTTTCATCGATTAATGACTCTCACATATATTTCACTACTAGATGACGAATTAATTGGCGAAACGGGAAAAATGAGGAAACAGAAAAAGTTTTGGTCAAACTCTTCTGTTAACGATTATATCGACTGATCGGGATAAAATTCGAAGTGATTGAGGTTTATCGAATTTTCATATTGTTTTGTAACTGATCAGATCCTGATCTGGAATATCCGATGGAAAAATTCAGATCGTCAATGCAATTATTGTCCTAATTAAAACCCAAGGATTACATCTCATACGATAAGAAAACCTCTTACACACTTGCTTACCGATCTCTCCTCGACTCGACCGATAACTCACAATGTGGAAAACAATTCCCGGTTTACCTCCCTAGTTTCGAAAAATAGTATTTCACTAATGATTTTCTATAAATTTGTGAAGAAATGACAACCGTAAGCAATAGAAATAATTTCCGTCCAGCAAAAAAATCGGAAATATTTCCAAATGCTCCAGTGCAACTTTGGAAATGAATTATTTATTATTTTACATTATTCCTCAGTTAAAAAAAATAAACAATAATTTGATAGTTACAGGAATTTCCAGAAGAACATACAATATTGAATTGGAAGGGAAAGAATTTCCCGCAGAAAATGAATAGTTTAACTATATTATTATGTAGATCAATCATCAATGAAGAAATAGTTAAATGACATTTTGTGATGGAGTGAAAGGAATTATTGAATGATAATTTGAATTTATATGAACCCGTATGATGAACACTTGAAGAATGACTCGTGTAATTGAATTTCTTTTCACTTAAACAATTGTGACGTGATTCAGTGATACACCTGGTGTACATGTTTGTGGCCGGATTTCTGGGGAGGTGAACGCGTAGTTTCCCCTGCAACTCTTTTACATTCACTCGTCATACGAATAGTTGAACACGCGAATCCTTTGGCAGTCATCAACGGTATTTCTGTGGAGCAATGCCAAAATATAGTTCAGCCTCTCACCAACAACTTGTAAGAAAAGTATTAACAACTCCAGGTAAACATCAATGAAAAATTTATCATAAAACTTGAACTGAAAATATTATGACTTCTGCCAAGTAAATTTATTTATTTATTATTCGAAAGTTAATTAGTTTAGCAGAACTGATTAATTTTTTATCAACATTTTCTCATCGAATATTTGCTTATGTGATATCATGTGGTTTATTCTTGCAATATTTTTTGCAATATCATATTTTTTTTTGAATGAAATGATATTTTCTTTCCTTCGTTATGTGAAAAGCAGAATGGAAATTTATTCAATGAGTTTCATTATTTCTGCAAATGTTGTTATCGGAAGACAAATTAAATGATAATGTTATCCCCATCATAACTCTACGGACTTGTAAATTGATTAGTCTCTTGATAAATACAATATCTGAAAGAAATTCTGCTGGATTTTTCCTCAAAAAAAGTGTGACTCACCGTGGTGATGCACTTGTCGAGTACTTGACATCTTCAGTCATTCTAAATAAATCGAGAGTATATGTGAAAGAGCAATTGTAACAGTAGAGTTGTTAGATGAGTTTAAATCATAAGCTACTGTCAATATTGTCATAACTGCCCACTGTGGCACGTGATCACTTGACATTTTATTTCTTGAATGAAAGCCGGATTTTGATTCTGTCAGACGGTCACTAGTTTCTTTAAAAAATGAAAGTACTGGTTGCACTTGAGATTTGGTGCTCCACTAGAAAGTGACGTGATGATTAAATCTAGATTTTTATTTTTTTATATTTAACTACGCGAAATTGTTTTCACTCTCATTCAAAATACTAAATCGAGGATTAACTTTTATTATATTCGCCGTTAATATCCATCATTTTTACACTGTTACTTATTTTTCAGCCTTTTGATATGTACCGATAAACAAATTTTTGGGTTTGTAAATTTTTACGGTTAAAACACGTGAAATATCCTCAATATCCACAACGAATGAGAGATTTAATTGTTTAAATTTTAATATTATTATAAAGGAATCATATATAATCATAAAATCATGATATCATGATATAATATATATATAATATATTATAATACTATATATTATGAATTTAATACAAAAATTGAAAACTATAGAAACTTTTTTTTGGGGCAGAACGTGCACTCCTTTTTTGAATTTGACATTTAATTTTTTTTTTATTTAAAAAATTATTTGTCTAAAAACAATTCTATGCCTCTTTTTCCCTCAGTACCTATTATTATAAAATTTATTGGAAGGATCGTCTGAAAATGTCCTGTCATAAATGAACGAGTGAATAATATTTCAATCTGATAATGAGAGTCACCTCCAAGGTTAATGTCCAATTCAGTGTGGATCCATTTCAGTGAAAGGGAAATTGATGCCATTTGGTATTTAAGATTGACCGTGAGCTGAAAACCCTGAATGCATCAGGCTGCAGCATCTTTTTGTCGTTGAGTAAAATTCCTTAACCGGGACTGCAATCCGGTTTGCAACCACTCCATTCGAATTTTCTGTTTCCATATTGATTGAACATGTGTACCTCATTGTTGTGAGACGATCTCATTTCAACATTTGGTTTATTATTTAACGGAAAAATCAGCACATGATAATGCGATATTTTTCGCTGAATCGTTTATTTTATAAACATGCGAGGAATGAAAGAGAATGGAGCCAGAAAAATCGCGGCCTTGACTCCCCGAGGCGGCCGTTGAGAAATGCAGAATCCAGATTTTTTTTTTAATTCGTGAAATTCTTATTCAGTTTTTTGCAGGTATCTCGTTAAAAAAAATAATCTTTGATCGGTAGGAAAACTATCTGGTATTGAGAGTTTCGTGGGAAAACGGTAAATGGTATATTTCGCGAGGGAATAATTTCTGCACATGTACCGAAAGGGTATATTATAGTACAGCAGAACTATTTTTACAGTTTTTCTTATATAATTAATTAACAATTCAGTAAAACCCGATAACTAATCATCAGAATCACTCGATTATTCATAATTAATGAACTTGTTGATTTTTTGGATGAACATGTCAAACGTTTTATGAAAAAAGAAATTTTTCCAATAATTAATTTTTCCAGGGGATATAATAAATTAATAATTAAATAAAAATGAATAATTAATCATTACAATTCATTAATTGTTTATACTGAATGAATTGGTTAATTTTTTTCCATGGAGTTGTCAACTGTCAGGTAATAAAAAAAGTTTCATAAATAATTTTTAAAGGAATATAATTAATTCATAATTAATTCATAATGAATTAAGTAATTAGGAAAGTAGAGTGCAAAATGACCGCGAGGCTCATTGCTCTCCCCGATTTCGGTGGGAGCGTCTAAAACCCCTAACAGTCCAATTGAATAATGAATTATTTATAATTAACGGTTTGTTACTTTTTTTAATTAAACGGTTTGTCAATTTTTTTTTGCAGAAAATCGCCAATTGTTTATTGAAAAAAAAAGTTTTACCGATGACTGTACCACTGAAAAGTTCAATCGGTGTTCCATTGAGAAGCACATGGCCTAGAGCAGGTACATGAGACTGCAACCAACCGGCACAACCTACTGCCACCACCACAATTTCCATCTTCTACCACCACTTCTTCAACTCGATGTGATTCCCGATCGGTGCTTTCTACCGGGCATTTTCTACCCTGTCCACTCGCCAACGGACTCTCATCGACAACGCGCTATTAAATTCCATTTTAAATTCAATTAGACATGTGTGTCACTCTATTGTCCCACTGATGACTTTACTCTGACAAAAATTTAACAATTCCATTTAATTTGCTCTGTGATTTAATTTTATATGTTTACCTTTATTTATTGACAAATCATAATTATTAACAAATATGTCGTGGATTCGCTCAACCAGTGATGTGATCGGGTTTCTTCTGCTGTCCGTTGTAACAATAATTAAAGCTATTGTTAAGTCATTCATTCCGATGAAGTATAAGATGAAAAGTGTCGCGGGTGAAATAGCTCTTGTTACTGGTGGTGGTGGAGGACTTGGAAGGCTTCTTTCTCTCAGACTTGCCAATTTGGGGGCAATTATCGTTGTTTGGGACATCAATGAAGCCGGTATGTTATTCTTTCATGATTCAGATTGGCTTATCTTTTACTGGCAGTGATATATTGGTTGATAAATGATAAATTCTTCAGCGAAGTGGTAAACTACGATAAGCCCATTTTTCGCGGTCAGTTTTTAACCGATATCTCAAAATTTAAGAGACATAACGATTTTTTTATAGATACCTTTTTTGTAGCTCTCATCTTTCTCTAGAAAAAATGGTTATATAAAAAATTCGCTATGTTCCTTCAATTCCGAGGTATTGGCTAAAAACTGACATGCAAAAAAATTTACTCATCCTAGTTTATTACTTCGTTAGTGAATTGAGGAGTTATCGCCGATATATTTTCATCTTTCATGTTTCTTTTTGAATTTCTGGCGAACATATACCGTTCTTATGGTCGTCCTGTAATTTTTAAAAAAATCATTGGCAAATATATATTTATATTAAATATTTTGCACGTTTATTTTATCGGCGGTTTCTCAGAAATCTTTAAAAATCTTGAAAAAAGAGAAGACATTCCGCAATAACTTCGTAATACCTCGCTATTTGGTATTCGACATGTTTACATTTTCGAAGCAATATCGGTCGATGGATTTCAATTAACTATTCAAGTATTTAATTCTGTTTTGATCAGTGCGTATTATCCTGTTACCATGTGTCCATTGCTCAAGGACTGAAAAGTATTCGATAATATATTTTGGTATATATCCTTCATATTACAGAGAAAGTTTTAGGATGGAAAAGCTTTTCATTCATTGGATAAATCAAATAATTCCAAATGATTTGAAGATCTGGGACTGAAAATCTTTCTGGATGCCCAGTGATACCTGATAACTTTTATATCAATCATTTGGAGAATATTTAAAAATAGTATTTCTCCAGCTATGAATATTTAGTGGGTAGAAAAAATTATTCCTTAAGATCTTACATTATTCTTTTTGTTCAAGCCTTACCTTTAATGTTTCGCGATTGTTCTGTTCCCTATTTTTTTATTGCGACATTGCACTCCACGAGAATGATCAATTACTTGGTAGGTATTCTCGATCCGTTGTATGTTTTCAATGAATTCCAGAAGACGTGGTAAAATGGACATGAATTTCACGATCGGTTGGTCACGAAGGAGAAGTCTGTCTATAAATCTAAAACCAAAAATTATCCAACATCAGAATTGCAATATTTCTGTAAAATTTTCGCTCGAATTAAAACTTAAGAACAAAAAATTTCCCCACATTTTCCTGGAGTCCGATTTTTCACCGATATCTCAAAATTGAAGGAAGATATCGATTTTTTCATATGAACATTTTTCATAGAAAAGAATGAGACCTACAAAAAAGGTATTATCAAAAAAATCGTTATCTTCCTCCAATTTCGAGATATGGGGTAATGACTGGTTTGGGAAAAAATACACTTGTTCTAGTTTATTACTTTGCAGCAGATTGACAAGCATGAGTGATACAGTTAAATGACATAATCGTTATTATTAATGATTATGTAGTAGGTAATGAAAGGATGATGCACGAGACATAAAGTTTGGATAGTGCGTTTAATCCTGTTGAGATAAACCTGTTATTGATAACAAAATTGATGGCAAACGAATATGAGTTCGAATCAGTAGTCGGAATGTTCAATGGTTTAATGTGATTTTATATAAGTCCTGAAGCAATCTGACCGTGACTCAATGACGACGGATATGCATGACCAACTGCCACCTCAGAAAATACAACACTCCTAATGAAAGTTTATCTAATTTTTCAATGTTCCGAATCTTGTTATCACTGAGAAGTCAGTAATGAAGATAAAATTATGCCAAACGAATGAGTAACAATAATCACCTGGAACTTTATCCAGCTTACCAATAAAGTTGAATTACATTGTTCAATGTCTCGGTGAGAAAAGCAAATTCGAAAGTGCCTTGCATAATTACGCGAGAAATCAAAATAAAAAACTTATTCAGTCTTTTGTGGGATTAGTACAGATTTTCCATATCATTGCACTCACAAAAATACCGATTTCAATTAACTACGAATTTTTATCTCAAATTGATTCTATTTCAGACAGATTTTTAATTTAATTCTATTTCAGAATAATGGAATTATATAAAAAACGAGTAAAGTTATTAAGGTAATTATTATTAAGATTGTTAATATAATTATTTGATGGTAATCAAGAGAATATTTAGAGGATTTTAGGGAATAGTCAATGGGAATGAAAGTCATCGGTTGAAAAAGAAAAAGATAATTGAACTTGAAGGTTTTGAGAGTAATTATGTCGGTTCGATCATTTATAATTCTTTGAGTTTTCATTATTGAATTACATGGAATAAATTTGCGATCGACGTCAGGGTCTAATAGCCTGTTTATTATTGAATGGAGAGGCACAATGTCGGGATTCTAGGATCGTTCGAAGGATTTCTTGAGTACGTGAGTAGAAATTTACTTAGAATTTTTGTCGTGCTGTTTTAATGGCTTCGATGACGCCCCATTGTTAGGCAGGGGTCAATAATTATTACAGAATTGTAGTTAGTTATTGTATACCCGGTTGAATGGATTATTTTTTATGAAAGAATTTTTAATATCAAATGAAAAAACATTGACAATCATTTTTAGGAATTGTAACATTTTAATGGAAATTACGCGTAAATCACGGGGTATTTTTATCTACGTTATCAATTACTCAGACGAATTTCTCGAATGACTCAATTAAGTGAAAGTTATAACTATGAATTGAAAAATTAATTGCGCCCATTACATAGGAAGAATGGAATTAAAATTGCATAGAATATTTTAAAAAAATCATAAATTTCCCAGGAATTGTAATTAATAAAAAATTAATGGGTCTTGAACGAATAATTTTAAGTAACATAGTAATTACATTTATTAAAAATGGATTACAGGTGTTACTGAGAGTATATAGTAGGCTGGGACAATTGGATTTATTGTCCTTTGGTCGTATATTAGTAGAAAATTTCAGTTACCGAAGTGTCAATAATAAAAATCAGGCTGGTGCGTGAGATTTTTTCATATCTCTCAAGAATAATGAGTCCAGAGCAAAGTGTAAATGATAACCCTGAATGGTATTAATCATGTAGAAGTAATTCAATAATTCTCACTGTTTATATCAGAGAAAAGAATTTCTTCGGAAAAGTTCGGTGACACATTCTAGTGTTCTATGAAAAATTTTAAATAATATTTGTGCTGGGTTTTTTATAGAAATTTCTAGGCAATTCAAATTTCAATTTTTTAAATATTCAGTCTTGAGTCCTGAATCAATGGCGTATATATTATATAAAACATTATTTTTTTGTGCATTTGTTTGGAATAAATTGCATTAGAAATTCAAATTTTCATGTAATTTCTACATGAGTTTTTTTTTATCTGCTGGAATTTTTCTCCGAAATGTTTCATGTTGATTACAGGCGTGCGCATTTTCCACGTATTGCGTTTAAAAGTTGAACTTCGCGCCTTAAGTTGTGCAAGTATGTCTAAAGACCTGAAGAATTCCTTCCCTGGACTTTGTAAGAACAAAATTCTGGAGGGAACGGAAAAAAAATTACTGCTTTCCTATTGAGAAACAATTTTTATCCGATGCACTTCGTTCGTCCGGTTTTCCTTGCAGAAATATTAAACACTCGTATAAAAAGTGGACCCATTTGTCTCAACTGATAATCGCTGTTTCGCATAAATCATGGAACAGTTTCAGTTCGAATAAAAAATAATTCCCACTCAACCGATTGTAATAATAAACACTCCGATGAATAATCCATAACTATGCAGAATAGATACTGAATTATAAATTAAATTTGTGAATCGATGCATTTGGATTTTGCAGATTTATTTATTTTTTGTATCCAAATGAAATATTCTATTTATATTCTTATCATTCATTCTTTTTTCTAATTATGTGTGGAAATAATGTAAAATTTTATAAAACGTGAAAATACGAAATTTCGAGTGAATTTGTGCGAATTTGTGGATTTATAAAAAAAATTCATAACAAGAGTCAAGTTCAAGATAAAAATCTGAAATTTTGTGGAGTAATGGGCCTTATGTAGGAGCATTACAGAACAAAATTTCGGATCGATCGATCGAGCATTTTCCGAGATATACCAATTTCGTAGTAAATGATTTTTCGTTAATATGTCAAAAACGACTTGTTTTTTGTTTAATTATGGGAATTATTTTTATATCAACTTTTAGATAAATGGCTTTCAGTTGTATTATGGTTTACTTGCACGTACGGCAATTTTATAATCGTTATCCTTGAAGTTGAATAATTCCAGACCCATTTCAGTTGGTCAAGGTTCGTAATTTTTCTAGAATCAATAACATACTTGAATAATAAACATATTAAAAATAAAAAATACAAGGGCGTTTTAGTCCCTAATACACAAATTCTCAAGCCCTACATTTAACATGACCGATAACTGAATGCAATTATTAGTCATTACGGTAAGACCGTTTAATATTAGTGAAAATTTTAAACCGGTGTCACGATTTTTTTTTTTAATTCCGTTAGCGTTAATGACAAGACCAGAAGAAATAAATTGTTTAGGAGAGGTAACAGCAGAAAAAGTATAATTGTTTTCACTGTTATACAGACAGACTTACGAGCGAATAGGTGAGCAAAAAGTGAGAAAGTAATTGAGGGCACCGGCTTACATATTTAATTACGTCCACGTGATTTTTCTTTGTAATTCGCAAAAACCAGTGCAGAAAGAAAATCATCCCTTGAGATACTTCAGTGCTGAATGGAGATGAGTGTGAATTTTTCGCATTAATCAAATTATAATATCACTTTCACTCCACACGATTTATTGAAACAATACATTAATCAATGGAATTGTTAATTTATCGAAAGAAAGATTGGAATTGAGGAAGGAGGTTAATGATTTTCATATCTCCATTGAATTTCTGAATTAAACCTGATGATTCATTATTTTACTTAATAGAACAATGAGCAGTTGTTAAATATTTACATACAAAAGATAATTCAATTGAAAAAGCAAAGTGCTAAATTAGGATAAGTGCCTTTTTTTCGATGCCAGTTATTCGTGAATATCTCGGAATTGAAGGAACATAACGAATTTTACGGATGAACATTTGTTTAAGAAAAAGATGAGAGCTACAAAAAAGGTATTCATGAAAATATCTCTATCTTCCTTCAATTTCGAGATATTCGCTAAGAAGTGGTCTGCAAAAAATGCACTTATCCCAGTTTACCACTTCGCAACACGCGACGATTTTTTACACAATTCCCCACATTTAAATTATTTTCCATCAGAGAAATGCATTCATCGTGAAATTTCTCATCACTTGGTTAATTCGTTGCGTGTATGATTAAAATTATTACGTTAATCTGCGCCTGCGGGAAATACCAAATAAGCAAAGAAAAACTTGCGGAAGAAACACGGAGATTGTTGTTGTGGAAAGTAGATAATCATTTAACACCGCCTAATATTTATTTTTCATTTCAATTCTAGGCATTCAAGAGACGGTGAATTTAGTGCAGTCAGCTGGAGGCACGTGTTACGGTTACATATGCAATCTTCGGAATAAGGAGGATGTATATAAGAAAGCTGCATTGCTCAAAGAGGAGGTTGGAAAGGTACACCATCAATTCAATATCATAAACTAATACATATCGAGTTGCAGATCCACTCTCACTCAATATTCGAACAATATATTCCCATTAATAATTTTGTTCAATTAATACTATATATATAATCAATTAAAATTTCATTTAATTAAACCTGAATCCCTCGAAATGTCCAAATCAATATAAATAATTCATAATGAGAGAGTAACTATTAAAAAAATAATCAAAGAGGAGGTTGGAAAGGTACACCATCAATTCAATATCAAAAACTAATAGATATCGAGTTGCAGATACACTCTCACTCAATATTCGAACAATATATTCCCCTTAATAATTTTATTCAATTAATACTATATATATAATCAATTAAAATTTCATTCAATTAAACCTGAATCCCTCGAAATATCCAAATCAATATAAATAATTCATAATGAGAGAGTAACTAATAAAAAAATAATTCAGAGGAACGTCATTGAGATATTTCAGCGGACCTCCATCCCTCTGAAAATCATCCGCCATTTCCAGACACTTACTCTCCTCCATTTCCTTAAAATCCGTCATTTTTCCGTAATTCTCAAGTCTATCATTCCACACGAGACAAATATCAAACAAAATTTAAAAAAATTTCTATATTCACAAATTATTAGAGATCATTCGCTCTAATTTCAGTTTTCCTCGAATTCGCGTTCGATTTTGGTATGCGCAGACCGAAATATTCCGGAAATAACGCGAGAAAAAAAAATGAGAATGATAAAAATTGCTTAAGAATTACAAAAAATAAGATAATCTATTTTCTGCGCGTCTGCTCTTGGGGAGCCTTTACCTAGAAATGAACTTATATTCTATAAAATCTTTTAGAAACTACTAAATATTTTCACTGGAACCCAAAACATAAGAATGGGTAAATAGTAATAATGTTAGGCATAGACTCTGGTCATGAGAGTGACGTTATACAGGAGGACCATTACGAAAGTCCTCAAAGTTACGCCACGACAAGTTGCAATACGTCGTTAATACACGAGACCTCAATACCCCTGACACATGTACTCTCAGTATTCATGATAATACATCCGAGTGTTATTCCGAAATTTCTCACTGCACCGTTCCAAATCAATCACCCAATCACTGATTTGATTCCATCGACTAATTTATACTATATTATATTTAACATGATTCATTACAAGATGCAAGTAGCTATCGCCCGAGGGCCAACACCATCAACTCATTAATCTATCAGATTATTTATTTTCTTTCTTCTATTTTCTGTTGTCATCAGGTATCAATACTCATCAACAACGCTGGAGTGGCTATCGGCAGGAAATTTCTTGATACTCCTGATGAGCTCATCGCAATGACAATGGAAGTCAATGTTATGAGCCACTTTTGGGTGAGTTTTGAATATTTTTTTCATCGAATAACGGTTAATGACAATGAGATGAATCTCCAAGAGATCCATGATACCTGGATGGATGGATCATCACTATATACCATTCCCTTCATTTACTGAACACTCCTTTGGTCTCGAATTCAAGGACCACTAGTGTCCGACTTGGGAATTCGCGGTGAGAGGTGTGCTATCTTGTTTGTATATACTGTTGAATATACGAGTGTTGGTGGTGGTGCTGAAAACTTGTCAGGTTAATATGTAGAAACATTACAAGTGTGCACCACCGATGCTTGTCTACGGTTTCGAACTTATTTTGCAAATATTGCCACACGACGGAGACCCTCCAAATACAGACAAACCCATTTATCAATTATGGTTTAATCGATTGGACAAGATTATGAATTTTTTGATTAAAGTGGATATGTGCACGGGTCAAATTAATGATGTCCTGAATACTGATGGGGAAAAGAAAATGAGATGATAACAGCCCGGCGAGTGAATTATGAAGTCGCAGAAAAATTTGGGATATTATTTGAATAATATCTCGTTGTTTATGATTTCAGACTGTTAAGGCTTTTCTGCCGGATATGATGAGAGACAATAAAGGGCATATTGTTAGCATAGCCAGTTTGGCGGGTCATGTTGGCATCCCGAAACTCGTTGATTATTGCGCCTCAAAATTTGCTGCTGTCGGATTTGACGAGGCGCTCCGTATGGAGTTGGAGGTAATTTTTTATTTTCTTCTACCGGAAATGATATTTAACATTACGATGTCATCCACTGAAAAATGTCACCTAATACCGGGCATCGGTTTATTATACATGACATTTTCCCAAGTGATTCCTAAATTTTTAACTTGAAAAGGCGAAAGGATTGTCAAGTGCTCAAGATCGGATAGAATTGAACAGATGATAAATCCACTACCAGGAACAATGCAATTAGATACGATCGCGGGTCACAGTGCAATTTTTTTGCTTCTGATTATGATTAATCGATCTTCTAATTGTCGAGCTATCGCGGGACTGCAATGACGTGCGGAGTAATTTTCGCGTCAATTGGTCTTCAATGATTTCGCACATGATTACATGATGCATACGTTGCAGAAAGAACGGAAGCAAGAAGTTGAATAAAAAATATTCACATTCCATATTAGACTTTGAGCTTTTTTATTAGATTTTTTTACTACTTCAGTGCTCTACTTCAAATAAAATTCACTTGGAAGAATTAATTGATGGAAATGATTGAATATTTTTTATTTCTTTCAGGTATTGTCGAAATTATACGGAAGACGAGACGTTTGTAGGATTTTCAGATAGCAATGATTTTCTAAATTTCTTCCTATATCATACTTTCTAATTTGGTTCTCCTTCGAATATACATTTGATTGTAACATTTTCTAGCATAAAGCAATGAATTTCCCCAGAATTTTAGCGCATCATTTGAAGTTAAAAATATTTCTGAACAAATCGGAGTAATAAAAGTGTAATGAAATGCAATCACCTAAATTGTTTAAACTGTAAGATTGGAAAAGAATTGAATTGGTAGCCTCCATCAAGACTGTCAAGAGAATCAAACAGCTCCATCATAAATGCAGATTAAAAGAATCTCTACCTTTATCTGAAAAATCGTATCGATCGAATGCATCACCAGACAATGAAAAATTAAAAACAATTAACTTCTGCTTCGATGTGATAAATATGAAGATTTCTTCTGTGATAATCTCACTGATAGATCCGTATGACGATTCCAAATTTAATCTAATAATAATATCTAATAATATATTAGATTATTTTATGGTTTGAAATATTTAACAATTATTGGTATATTTAGACAATTATGTTTTTTTCCTCGTTCTTGTAATGTTTCGAAATTATGGGTTTGTTTGAAATATTTTTAGCTGTAATATTTTGATAGGTTTGTTGTGTTATTTTGATAGGTCCGTGTGGTTTTTTATATTTTTCTTTCCCTTCCAGTCTGATGGATACGACAATATTCAAACCACAGTGATTTGCCCGTACTTCATACGCAGCACTGGAATGTTCGAAGACGTGCAATCAAGGTGATAATTAAGAAGTCAGAGATTATTGTTGCTTTTTTACAACATCCTCATCAAACAATTCAATGACGAAAGGAAAAAAAAAATTACTTACGTCTAAGGTCACTTTTTTCAACTGACTTCATTCATTTCTCTAGATTCCTGTCCACCTTGAGCTCAAACGAAGTCGCCGATCGGATCATATCAGCAATGAGATGCAACGAGAAATTCGCGATTCTGCCGGGTTATCTTCAAGGCATGTTGGCAGCTAAATGGTAAGTCGGATCCTGAAAAAAATGTGGTAACAGTGAGATGTCCTGAATCTCTTGAGATTAATGATAAAAACAAGTTGAAAAGTTGAATAAATTTTATACCAAAAAAGATGAGGAAGAAACTGTTACAAAACACTTAATCGCGTGTGGAATTCTCAATTGGGGACTGCAAGAAAGCCGTCACGACCTCTGTCATTACATGCTTCTCTCTATGAAGGATAATAGAAGTTGACTTTCCCTGCCTGAAGTGTGATCACCCGAGAGAAAGAGAAATTATGAATCCAGGATGAAGAGTGAAGAAAACATTTGAATTCCCACCGTCAACCTATATAATACTCTCTGAATGATTTCCATCTACCGATTCTTTACCTTTCTTCCTGTTTGTTTCAGGATCTTCCCCTGGAATTGTGCAGCCATGTTCCTCCGGGGTTTAGTCCGGGACGCATCTCCAGAGCCCCAGAAGAATCCAGTATCTAATAATCAGGAGAATTTCGAACCATTGAAGGAGCAAAATGCCCTCCACCAGCAGCTTACAAGACGCATCTCAAGTTCTGAAAGAAAGCCTTAACTCGTTTCAACGATTTTGACTAGAAATGTCCGTTAATGCTAGTACCTCAGGTTAATAATTCAGCGGCGATGCGAAGTAAATCAATTATGGTTGTGATGTGGATGATTACGACATGGAAAATGTCCCAACTTGTCGGTTAAAAAAAATATAAAACAGCTCAAGTGACACCCGAGATAACGTAATAACTCTTTTTAATACCATGTGCAGAAAAATGAAGATTATCAATTCCTACGACTCAGTCAGAATATCTGGAAACTACCTGAATATATAATACTCTCGGATATAATGTATATACTATTTTGACGAATGAAATATATCGCTTCAGTGATGAGGATGTAATGAGAACCTCATATTTGTTGTAATTTAGACTAGGCTTAGTGCCATGACTTGCCGTCAAGGCCGTCGCTGTGCGACGCCCTATCATTGGGTGAATTCATAGACATGTTTTTTTTATAATAATAATTGAAGTGGGATCAGTGTGAAAATATTTTTAATGACAAATATACAGATATCAGTAAATGAAGGTCAGTTTTTTTTTCTTTTTCATATGATACTTTTGACACTGTGGAAGTACGCTTTCATGAGTTTCTGGGTTCGGTGAAAGCCACTTTGCTGATATAATATATATTAAGAAAGCAGAAATCTAGAGCAGAGTGATAGGAGAATTGATTCGGGGCGAATAATCAGAATAATTATTGATGGGAGATCTCGCTGTAACTCTGATAAAGTTATGGCTAAGGAAACATCTCTGAGAATTTATCATTTAAGGCTCGGGTGGATTATCTAGAAAAGATAACTT